AAGGTCTCAGTTTAGGATTATGTGCAAACCAAGTCAAGGCTACTTCAACAAACCATAGCTTTAAAAACCTAGGATTGGATTACGTGACTCTTTACACTCCATCAGCTTTTCTATAATATGTTTCATTAACCAGAGTTCATAGTACAATATGCTATAGAAACAAACACTGGCTTATTCACTTATGCACTATTCATTATGTAAACCACAGCTTAGCACAGGCTTATTATCCCCACAACAAAAGTTTAAATGAGATATTTCAACACTTGAAACCTTAACAATTAGAAATGGGAAAGATGCTCACTTCCCATGCCAATCATGACAAATGTTTCAATAATGCCCAAAAACAAAAATAAGCCAACCTTCTCTTCCTATCCAATTTCAGTGGGACGGAGGAAGAGGGAAATACCGTAATTATCTGTCAGTTACAGTACTGCATCATGTTTTCATGGTGCCTTTTCTACTGGTAATTCATAGTCCCTTTTGCACTGCTACAGCTAGAAAACCTTCCTGTAATAATGACCTGCCACTGGCCCAACAATCATTTGTAAATTGACTGCTAAGATTGACTAGAATTTATGAATGACTGCCAATGTAACTGCAGGCCCAAGTCTAGAGACAAGACAAAGAGAAACAATTGATGTGCTTATGTGGTTATACCCAATGGACAGAATCTTGCCAAACTAAAGCTATAACCTTCTAACCTATTAGATATATCCTGAGAGATTCTAAAGTGTAGCTATCCTGACCCTCTCCCCTTCCCATATCCAGTTTGGGACTTCACAGTCTCTTAATCCGGGCCTTTTTCTGGGAAAGCTCTGTGTTGCCAAAAAGTCTTCTTCTTTGCTCCTGCAGGTGCACATTCCATCACATTAGCCAATGAATGAACGGTTATGAATGAATGAAAATATACGATATATGAAATATACTATACTATATTATACACACACACATTTCTGAACTGATAAAAATTTTCAAAAGCTCAATGATACTAAATTGAACTTTAAAAAAACCTTTTGTATGTATTTTAATGTTAACACAGTATCTCTTAAATTCTTTTACTTGCCAATTTTTGTAGAGAAAGAGATGCATAATTTCCATCTTAGGTCAATACAATAATATGGAATAAGGGCAACATGGCACAGGAAATTCCCATCCTTTTGTCTCCAGCTGCAACTCCCTGAACACAAAATAAAAAGTCTGTCCTGAGGATTGCGGGAACCTCAGGAAAAACCCAGGATATGAGTCAGGAGTAACTATGAGAAGGGAAAAACTGGAAATTGCCATTTACACAGTAGAAAGAAGCAACTGCTGAGTTAACTTGTTTATAGTGTATTTTTAAAACAAATTAAGCCTTTGTCTTTTTTTTTCTATTTTGCTTCAGTCAAAAATAATTACAGTATATAAATAAAGCAAATTATGAAAGAGGTCTTTTTAAAAAAAGGAGCAAAGGAAAATGCATCTCAGGATAGAAAAAATAGAGCAATCATATGAACCAGTCTTCTAGATTTTTTTTTAAAATCAGTCCTGGAATATAATGCACATTTTTCAAAAAGCTTCTTAATAAAGATCTTACTATTTAACAGCAAGCGTGGGTGGAAGGAAGCGTTTTTTGCCAGGATCATCACAAGGGTGAAAAGGATTACATTTCACTTATCCATGTGCTGTTGTCCTAATGAATATTATCTTCTCAGTGCTACTAATATTGGCATCCACTGTAATTATGCATTTCAATTTGTCTAGTTTAGATCCAATGTGCTTTAAAACAGGATAAGACAATCTTTTGATGCCTGGAGACCACATTTAATCATTGGGATGGGAAGGGCTCTCCCTATGTTTTAGGAGGTAAGACTATTTTACATACAGATATCCTTTTGAGCTCTTGTAGGTGGTTTGGGTTTGTTTTAAAACTAAGTGGAGCCTATGTAAAGATGCACACTCCAGGGCTTGGCCTAGCTGCTTTCCATCACAAGAGAACAAATAAGGTTTGGAGGCTAGTCAAAGTGAAAACTGGGTCTCTTCCCACTTTTCTTTTAAAATAAGAACTTCAGTGACAAATGAAGGAAGAGGGTTGGGCATTTTGATGAGTAGCTAGAAGTATAAGAAGACAAATTATCTGTTTTGTATGCAGCTCTTTCTGTACTGTTCTTCTATGAACTGCCCCAAGATTTCTGAACTTGAGATAGGAAGAGTCTAAACATTAAAGGAAAATGGCTACTGTTCAATTAATCTTCATTGGACTTGGCTTTCAAATTCTAGTAAGACTACATGCTTTTACTTCATTTTCATTCATTCCATTTGTATATTGCCAAATCAACTCCAGATTCACAGCGGCTTGCCATAAGGATCAACAATAAAAACATCCACAGTACGAAATCCAAATTTATTCTGAGGTTTATGTTTTACTCCTCAGTAAAGTTCTTTTGACACTTCGTTTAGCAGACCCATTCATAAAAAGTATTTTATACAACAAAGTCTTCCTTTCTTTGAGGAATGTAAAAGCAAATCCTGAATTATTATACTGGATTATCCACATTCTGATGATATGCCCTTAACATCCTAGCACATGCTTATATCCAATATATTTAAGTGGAATTCTTATACTGTATCCCTTAAGCATTTCTTGAACAAAAATATAAAGGTTGTGGAAAGTATTTGAAATGTGGTGTGATGGTCGGTGTGCAAAGTACTTTAGCACCCTTTCTTAAAACGCTAATGCAGCTGCATCAAGAAGGCTTGCACATTTACTATAAAGGCTGTGCCCCTTCTGTGCATTTGTATGTGCAGGCACAGCTACTTTGCTTCCCTGGAAGTTCTGCTAGCAGAACTACGTGTTGCATGTAATATAGCCACAGACACCATCAAACCAGCCACATGAGTCCTTCAGAGGACACATTGGTTTAATGTTACGAATGCAAGTGTTTCACTTATATTGGCACACTTTGCGAAATATCCTTTTCAAATATTTTGCCCAGCCCTAGTAAACAGACACTTTCTAACCATAGCCACTGTGGTTAGGTGAACTGAACAGAATCATCTCACTAGATTTAGTTTGTTGTTAAGTACAGTGTTTGCCCTCTAATGTACAGTCAGATCAATACCAGCAAATTTTTATCTACAACCCTGACATCTGCTACTTACTTTTTAATGAAGTAGTCTAGAAGTGATTCACAACAGTCAAAATAGTGACACATCCTTCAAACAAATTAAATTACTGTGTGTGACAGGCACGCAATTACATGGCGTGCTATGAAGAGTTAATAATAGACTGAAGGATTATCAATTTGGAATATGGTGAAAGTTGTTATACTAACACTACTGATTTTAAATTTAAGTTGTTTCAGTCTCTGTGTATACACTAAGCCAATCTTAATACCATTTGTCTAAGTATATTCAAAACAATTCTTCAATGATATTGATGGAAGTTTTTCAGCAAATTACAGGCAATGATTCAAAACCATCATTATCTAAAAGTATAGATTTTTCTAATCTTGCAAAATCATTTCAAAAAATTGTTGAGGACTAGAGAAATTGGCACAGCTTAAGCAAAAAGCATATGTAGCATGGGATAAAAATGAGTATTTGCTATTACCCCATCATGTCCCCAAATATATGAAATATAAGTCCAATATATGGTTTTTAGCAACCAATTTAAAGAACAAAATACTTAAGCAGAATACCTGCTTTGCAAAATATCCTACTTTAGCCATGTAAATATTTACTGATTAAACAAATTTAGTTTGATTAAACTTGGTGTGATTTACAACTGGATTAGACATACATTAGGGCCAAGTTATAAAGTTCCAGCAGGTCTGCATTTTAAAAAAGAAAGAAAAAAACCTTAAAAAGAAATAGCAATGGAAACAAAGAGGAACAAAAACTGGTATTTCATCACGAAAATACTGTGCCAACAGGAAATGGAAATGAGATTGGCAGCCTCTGAAGAATTATGGGATGCAGGAATGCAAAAGGAACACATAAGTGTAGTTATAAGCTCATATTGGGTACTAGACATACAGCACCAGCAATCAAAAGAACAGGATAAACTGTTCCTTCTCTCCTTCATAGGATTCTCTCGGGAGAAAAATATGACAGAAGCAGACTAGGTACAGGTGAGAAATAACAAATGAAAGATAATGGTCCCTTGAACATCTTTCAAAATTGTGTGAAGTAGCAGGATGGCACAGTGAAAGCCCCCCCCACCCCCAGCCACACACATCACCACCAACACTGGTGGCAGAAAGCATGAAAGGGCTGCATGGAGAAGCCACGAAAAGAAAGCATTCCTAGGTCAATAAGCAAAGGGGGGGAAAAGGATCATCAAGAAGTTGTGGAAATGATATTGAGCGAACTGCCCATCAGCTGTCAAAAAGGAACCTCCGGAGTCTTCGAGCAGAGCTTCGTCAAACTTGATCAACAGAAGCCCCAACTAGCTAGCTATTCATAATCACCTAGAGATCTTTAGCAGGAGAAACTCGTTTTCGGAGCGGCTGCCTTCAGCCAAGAGCCCGGGATTGGGAGAGGCAGCAAGAGCTGGGAGTCACTTCGCACGGCAATCCCGGCAGGTTTCTGCTGGGCACAAAAGGGCGATTTTGCCTGCTCGAGGCTAACTGGCAAGTCACCCTCTCCTCCCGGATTCCTCTCCCGCCCGCTCCCGCTTCGCAGCATCCTCACTTCCCCTGGCCACCATCCTCCCGCAGCACGCCCTTCCCGCGCCGCCGTCCTTGGTTGGACCGAGGCTCAAAAAGCAGCAAAGCCCGGGCGAAGCGACGCTTCGGGCCCGCCCCGCGCAGCCGAGAAAAGCGGCGGGTTCTTCAGGTTCCCCCTTTTCTCCGCCAAGTACTTCGGGAGGAAGGCAGGGGGAGAGAGCGCGAGGCTCAGGAAACCTTCCGCGGAGCTCCGCTTCTGACTCCCGGGGCTGGCAGACCGTCCCCGGCGAACATGGCAGGAGGCTCGCCCCGCGCTCCCTTTGTTGCTCTGCCGCCTCTTTCCCCGCACTGTACCTATTTTGATCCGGACGCTCTGAAACACCCGGAGCCCCTCTTCTTCCACCGCCATGCTTGCAGCCGCGACGGAGAGCGAGCCCGGCTCCGCTAGGCTGAGGGGGGGGGGAGGGAGGGCGCCGCCGGGCAAATGCAATGCGCCACGCGCCCCGAACTAGAGGGGGAAAAGACGCACGACCGCCCCCACTTCGCCCCCGCTGGGGAAGACGAGCGAGAACATCTCCAGCAACGGCCGTCCCCACCCCCGCCCTCTTATTGGCTGGCGGCAGGCCGGGTGGAGCTCCTCATTGGGCGAATCCGGGCGGCCCGCTCCCCATTGGAGGAGAGGAGAAGAAACAGGGAGAGATTTGTCGCGCAAACCAAAAAGCTGGAGAGAGCGCGGCTGAGGCGGCGGGGCCGGCGAGTTTGCGAACGGCTCTGATGGACGCCGGAGGAAACGGCTTTGGCGGCAATGCCTTGACCGGCGGCCTGCCTTGCCATCTGTCACGGCTGCAGCCTTCAGACCGCTTCCTCGTCTGCGCGGCTCCTTTATGTTAAGGGAGCGTCCCGAATTAAAACCGCGCTTTATCCTGCGGTGTGGTGCGCAAATGTCTTTCAGAGCCACTTTGTTATTGTATTGCTTAAAGAAAAAAAAAAAATAGGCATATGCGTTAAGTGATCCACTGGAACTATCTCTCTAGTCTAAGATTTGTGCTCAAAACTTGACTTCTCTCCCACAAAGACCCACACTTGTCCTCTTCCTCCCTTTGGAAGTTCACTTTGACAACAGAATAGTCAGGGCATCTCTGGGGTCCTCCTGGGTACCAGATATAAAGAGGAACAAAGCTGGTTGCCTTGTTTGAAAATGATCTGGAATACCTGGGTGCTGTTTTAACTGTTTAAATAGTTAAATACTGCAGTGGGTCAAAGGACTGTAAGTGGTATGCTACAGATAACTTTTTTCTTTAAAAAGTTTGATTGATTTTTTAATTTTATTCTCAGTATGGTCTGTATGGTGACCCGCTAGTCTTTTATTTGTTATATTGAAAATGTACACTCCACACTAAGTCGTGAGTTAACATCCTAAACGGGTAGGTTCTACTTACCTTTACTACTGGTTCGCACATGCGCGCTTGCTTTCTTCACACGCACGCACTCTTCTGTGCAAGCTTTTGATGACGTCAGAGTTGGTGGGCGAAGCCTCCCGCCGGTTTTACTACTGGTTCTATAGAACCGGTGCGAACCAGGGGCAACCCACCACTGATCCTAAACCAAAAACAAATCACATAATTTAGTCTGATGCCTCAACCTTGCTTATTTTATGGTATCCTGTGCTAAAAATCCTTATTCAAGGACTTACTGATAAACTACAGTATGCTTACTTATATTACAAATTTTAATAAGATCTCACCATGAAAAATGCTATAATTAAAAACCTCTACCTTAACTGTATTTTTACATAACTCTTATAATAAGATAAACGTTCCCCTCGCAGATATGTTCTAGTTGTTCCTGACTCGAGCGGGCGGTGCTCATCTCCGTTTCAAAGCTGAAAAGCCAGTACTGTCCAAAGACGCCTCTGTGGTCATGTGGCCGGCATGACTAAACGCCAAAGGTGCACGGAACACTGTTACCTTCCCACCAAAGGTGGTCCCTATTTTTCTTCTTGCATTTTTTATGTGCTTTCGAACTGCTAGGTTGGCAAAAGCTGGGACAAGAGCTCACCCCATTACGTAGCACTAGGGATTCGGACCACTGAACTGCCGACCGCTGAACTCTTATAATAGCCACCAACATTTGTTACAATTAAGCAAAGACACCAGATTCAACTCACAGGTTATTTGCATAAAACATATTAAGGCACACACTTATTCTGGTAAACAATGGTTATCCATCCACCCCCACCCCCCAAAAAATAAGCCCTAAATTGTGTGTTGTATTAAATTAGCATTAGCATTAGGAAATAAAGTGATGGAAATCTGATTTTTTTTCTTCTTTTTCTGTACATTTTTCATTGTAGAAGTCTATCTTAGATTCAAGGTCATTTTTTCTTTCTTGTAAAATGGAACTTTTAAAATCATGTACCAATAGATAAAGCAATTCAAGCAATCAGCAATTTAAAAACATGAATGATTCATATAGCTGACATTGGCTGGCTCCTGCTAAGTGTACACTGGATGAAAATACAGGGTTGTTGTTACACAATGTCCTGGGAATTCTAACTCTTCCAGCTTCTCATTTCAAATAAGCCAGATTACCCAGCAAAAGTGTTTGCCAGTGATTAAGCAACAGCGTGTAATAAAATTAATAACATACGCAGCAGTTATCAGCTAGATTCTATTCTCTCTTCACAACTAAAGGAGGGATCTCACTATCATCGTGGTGAGATAGGTGGCAAACAAATTTAATGAATAAAATAAACTTTATATTGGGATTACCTCCAGGATGTATCAGAAAATGACTGATCCAAAAGTGCTATTGTCTGCGGATTGCCTATCCTGCTTAAGGTGGTGCATAACAAAAGAAGGATCTACTGCCAGCAAATTTAAATTTAGCTATATCATCAATTATTTTTCAAAATGCTGTCCTGCTGGGACAAATGATAGTATTTTATTCTACACATCAGGTTATATTATGGTGTGTATAATTATTACAAATTATGGTTTATAAATCATGCATCTATCAAACCCACGGAGGTTAGAACAATGTGTGAATTTAGCCAGGGTAAATATAAACAGAAAGTGTTTAACATTTGTATTGCGGGGATGGGGGGAGAGATTGTAATCTTGTTTGTTTATTAAAGCAAAGAAATGGGGGGAAATAATGAAATAACTTGGAGCTACAGCAATAAAATAAACTGTGGCAATGTCATTAGCACAGTACAAGCTTAAAACAGAAATTTGAAGATTGTCATAATCATGCAGCCAACATTTTTAAAGCAGCCATTAATATACTTGCCTGGCCATTGTCCAGAACCTGGTAACAGAGCCCGAGATCACATCTTGCTAACCCAACAACCAATAGGTAACATCCCCAGAGATGATATTAAAAGGAAACTCTAAAAATGGAGCAAAGCTTCCTGTAAAGCTAGAGGCAGTTTAATATAGGCCAGTGTTCCTATCTTATCTTCCTTCTATATACCAGAGTGTGCTTCTGCTATTGGAATCATTTGATATTTGTCCTTTAGGAGCACTGAAAATAAAATGCTGAAATGTGCTAATCTGAAGGTTCTTCTAATCTGAAGGTTATTTGAGGTAAGTCAAGAGAATGGCTAATTTCCCTGGGTATACCCCAATTTGTTTGCATCCTAATTTACCCACATGCTTCCTTAGTAAGAGTTTGTTCTCACTCAGTCTGACAATCTAGGCATCTGCTCTAAGGTACTGCAGCAACTGCCTTCTCCCACATCCATCTAGCTATTAGTAATATCTTCCCAACAGTCAATATTGCTGTCTTCCTTATATTCAAGGACAACAGAGTGAGGGTTCAGGAAACAGCACATAAATCAGCTTACCTAACAGAGTTTGACTGCATTTTAAGTACAATATTTTATACACTATCTGGTTAATTTATAACATTTTTCCTTGCTGCTTCCATTTTCTAGGTTTTGTTGTTATTGCTTTTCGTGATTGTTGAGATTCATTTAGCTTCCATGTAGATCCAGTATATGACTGAAAAATGGACTATAAACACTACTTTTAAAATGAATATGGTGGAACATTTCAATACTAGTTTTAATGATGAAGTCCTTTTATTGGGAAGTTGTACAAACCATACACTAAGCTACAGTATATTTTTTTGTGCCAAGATGTGATGTCTACTAAATTCAAATGTAAGGATTTCTAATAAAATTATTCAATTGTTCTGGATCAATCAGATTCAGAATACATTTCAAAAAAAAAGTTATAAACAATGGAGAGCCAGTATTGTCTAGTGGTTTAAATTTTAAATTTGGTTTTAATCTATTGGGGTTTTAAAATTGGTTCAGCCAAATTTATTTAATTAGTTTTATCTCTATTTTAAATTTTGTATCTATATGTTTTATTTTATGGCTGTTCACCACCCTGAGTCCTTCGGGAGTAGGGCGGTATACAAATTTAATAAAATGAAAAAAAAAATGAAATGGTTAATGCATCAGAGTAGAAACTAGGAGTTTGTGAGTACTAGTCATGCCTTAGCCACAAAGCCAGCTTGGACCAATCACTTTCTCTTAGCCCACAATGTCAGGCATAGGCCACAAGACAGTTGGTCAATTCATTGCAACCAATAGATCAACACTTTGTTGATTTGAAATAAAGTGAATCCTCTACTTGTGGAAAAATAAAAGAAGAAAAAAAAATAAAGCAACTGCAGCAGGACATGAATTATAGGAGGAAAGAAAACCTTTTGTTTGTTCTAAGAAGGCATGCTAGGGTATAATTTTTTTAAAAAGAAAACATTTAAAAAAAACAAGAAACTTCCATATGGACTCATTAAACGGATCAAGCACTGCCTAACATAAAATTTACTTATTGGCCCATATTTAGGAGACAATATAAAGTAAGGGAGTTTGTTTATCTCTTCACTATTCTCTATGCTAGAAACAATTAGATGATTAAGTCAAATAATTTAGATGGAACCCTAAAGGGATTGTTTCATTGTTATTTACAATCTAGAACTTCATGTGTTCAAATTATATGGGATTCTAAAGCCTAAATTAGACAACAATGAGAGTTCCACAAAGAACTGTTTTCTTCTGTGACTCATTCCTACCAGGCAGAAACCACTTCCTTTCAATGAACTACTGTACATGAGAGGTTTCCCTTGAGAGGAAGTAAAAAGATTTTATAATTACCTTAACATAATGGCAACAGCTAATAAAAACCAGTTCACACATAATTGAACTAGTCCACATTTCCAGGTATTAGACCTTTTTAACCAAACAACCAACATGTCCAAAAGGTACTTTTTTCAAGAGGCAACATGATTTTTTGGTTTTTCTTTGAAGACAAAAAAAAAAAATGCAAATGACCAACTGTCAGTATAAGGAGTATAAATCCTTCCATTCCCCACGATCCAGTCAGAGCTGAAGAAGCATCTTGGATGAGAAGCGAAACATCTTCAAATAAAAACCAGAAAGTCCAATTGCCTTTTTAAAAAGCACCTTTGGGTCAACCATGACCTGGATGACTGAGAAGCTCCATAGACAAACAATCACCTTGGAATGTTAGATTGCATACACAGTTGGTACA